TTCCCCCCCCCCCCCCCCCCCCCCCCCCCCCCAGATGTGTGGTGTTTTATGGGAAAATTTTGCAACCCTCAGAGAAGTACAAACTCTTTCCTACCCTTCCGTTAAGGAAATTTTGTGAACTCTTTAGTCCTTTTTTAACTGTTATAATTAAAGTAGCAAAGTCTGAAAGTAAAACCTCCTACCTTTTGCATGGAATATTGCAGCATCTTTATTTAATTGTCAATTCATCAGACTTTTAATTGTGTATGGTTCTTTATATTATGCCATATGTATCGGGGTTTGTTTCCTTGGCTATCCACAAAATCCTACAAGAACCCAGAAACAACATGTCCGCTCTCAACTACGTGGTGTTGTCTCAATTGCTACCGATTAGCTTGCCAAACTGGGGTGTACGATAGACTTACCTTCACGTGGTGCTCCCTGGGCAACGTATACTCATACGACAAAAAAGTCTATAAACTGACAGATGACCTCCCACTTCAAACTACCATGACCCCACTGTATGTCATAGTCGGCTACTTCCACAGTACTCACCTCACCTTTTTCCTACCTTAGTGTCTGTCTCTTTTACATCTTCGTAACACTCTTCTGTTCCCCCCACCCCCTCTCGACTTTATTCGATTTGATGTTCTCCTACCTCTGTGAAGCCCCGAAGTCAACTAAAGGGCCAATGCTAACTATCAAAAGGCTTGCCATATGACACAAATAAATAAATAAACCCCTATCTCTTACTGAAAGATGCGGGTGAGACGAAAAGGTGTCACGCAGGTACATGACGAGTTGACAGATGTGTGTATCATCGAAAAGCATTCGGCGATGTTATTGGGAAACCAATGAGGGTTTTTGTTTTTTTGCTACCATCTTCTGTTTTGGTCAATAATGAAAATAAAAATATTATATCGGGTGTGTTCACCAGTCAAGTACAAAACATCAAGTTCACCCATGCTCCACCTTTCTTGGCGGGTAGATTAGTTAAGGGTTGGTAACAGTTTTGTAAGTTAGTTTCAAGTTGTCTACCTTTTGCTATTAGAGTTGATGCTTTCTCCTATAGTTAGCTGCAGGTATCATATCACCAGTGGGAGTATTCACATCATCCTATTGATTGGCTTTTTCTCATTTTCACAGGTGCCACGAATAGACACTCTGGTTCCCCTCCAAACTGGAGAATCGATACGCAAGGAGCTGACTGAAGGTGTAATCAATGAGCAGGAGGCGATGGAGCGTTTACTCCTGCTTCTAGCTCCAAAAGACGCCTGGGCTCTCTACAGAGATGTGACCAATGTGGTAAGTCCTATCCATTTCAATCCCATTTGGTCCGGTACTACACATGGTAAAGCCCCATGCTTAAGGCCTTCGACCTGGACAATAGTTGATACGAACACGTAACTACTGGGACTCGGAATTAGTAACACCTTCTTACGTATACTGTACGTGGTCTATGCGGAAGATATGGTACATAGTGTAGCGAAATTCTAGTGTTTGAATGTTGGATAGTGTCACCACACAAGGTTTATTCTGGTTCTCATTATGGCGGTCCCCTACGCTCTTTTTATGGTGGGTTTGCAATGTATGTCCGTGTTTTTTTGTTGTTGTGGAAACCGAGTAGATTGCGGGAAAAGTCGAGGTTCAGAGGACTACTTCTCTTACTTCTCAAGCTCGAGTAAAGTGAATTTTTTTCCGGGGGCCTATCAATTCACCTTCTTTTCGCTTTAGCAGGGATAGAAACTGCGTGGTAACAAAAGGAATGGGGTTTGAGACACTACTCTTTTTTCTATTCTTAATGAGAAATGCTTGGCATTCTCGCGAGTGTAAACACACAAATTTACCAGATGGATCGGCATTTCAAACGGAGCACTTTGGGGGACGACTGATGGCTTGTCAATTGGCATCATGTTAAACTAAGGTGCTGGATTTATTATATTGATGGTTCTATTGGGGAGGGGGGGGGGGAATGTCTTTAATAAGCTAGCTTGATAAAGGGTTGTCACGTAGTTACCATCTTGACGCTTGCTTCTGAGATGAGGTTTGAAGAGCATCAGTTACTTGATGGATAATGATGCCTTGGTTAGTAGCATTGAATTAATATTTCCGACCACTAGACTACACTATAGCCCAGATTTCTTTAAATCTGGGACAAGAGCTTTTGAAGGTAACTTTAGACACAGTATGGGCATGTTTTATACACCTTCATATTTTTGTTCGTCTAGAAATGGGATTCAGCCACTCTCCATCGACTCCTTGACCTTCTATGCGCCACTAATAGCGGCAATGGAGGAGCTGATTTCTTCGAACATCTTCCCTTTGTTGACCGTGGTTCTCTTCCCGAACCTGAAGAACTGTTCTATGCTGCGGAGACTCGGATTTTCAGCACTCTCAGAAACGCTGCAGAAACTCCTGCCGATGAAGCGCTCCCCACTCCTGTTGTGGCTGCAGCCGATGACTCTGGAGTTGATGCGGAGAATTTGGAATCGCTTCAAAGTACGGATGCCCAACTAGAGAAAGTGGAATTGCCAGAAGACGAATCAGTTGTTGAGGAAATTCTCCAAGCTGAAGTTTCTTCCTGGCACAAGGGATGTCCTGCTGAACTGCTCTTCTCCCAGCATCCAGATATTCTCCGAACTCCAGCTGCTTACACTGCTATGATCCGTGGTGCAGCTCGTTTTGGCGCTGCAGACCGGGCATGGGAAATGGCCAAAGAAGCCCTCAATTCATCCATCAAGCTTCCTCTCTGCGTGTATAATGACCTCCTACGTTGTGCCTACGAGTACTCAATTGAAGAAGACATCTGGACTCGATTACTGGAAGGTTTTGAACTCCTCAGAGCTTCCAACCTACGTCCTGATGCGATCACATTCTCTTCAGCTCTTTACTCTCTCCATAAAAGTAATCTGGATGCTGTGGGCAAGGAGGATGGGCCACTGAAAAATGTTGCAGATAAGGCCCTCGGTTTACTGGAAGAAGCTAAACGCCTTGGAATCCAACCTACTCTGGGTCTTTATGCTAATCTATTGAGAACGTTGGTGTCTACCAGGATTTCAAAAAGCGGACAAGCTTATCGTCTAAATGAGATTTTGGCCGACATTCTAGCTGATGTTGAAAACAACTGGGATTTTCTGAGTCGAGGTGATGTCTTTTCTTCCGTGGATGATTATGAATTTGCGAGTACAGCTTTGTTCTGTGCCACTGTCGGCACTTCTAGCGGTAATTCGTCTCGTCTTGTTCAACGAATATATGATCTCGTTCATACACGATGTGGCGATAGGAGATTTTTATTCAGGAACAGTGTTGACGCTCGAGGATTTTACACGCGATATCTCACAACCGTGGTGCATAATGCTACTGGTGGAGTTAATGAGTTGGCTACAATCTATCACAATCACCGTCAAATCTTTCACGGGAATCAGAGAGTTTACGAGGTTCTTGTCCATCGCTTGAAAGCAGCTATATCCACATGGACAAGTGCGTTGGAAAAAGTGAATTCAAGTGAGACGGAATTTGATAGAGCGATGCTTAAAAATCTGGAAGGGGAGGCTTCTAAAGCCTTTGAGACGCTGGGTGAAATGCTATTTGACTTCGTGGCAATGTCAGTTAGGATGCCTCAACGATTGCCCTCTTACATCTCCGATTCATTGATGACTTTCTCTTCTGTCGGTAAGTTGAGATCCCACAAATCGTCAATGGGGGGGGGGGAGGGGTGAAAAATTGACTTCCACATTTCCTGCTTTTAGATCCATGGATAGAAGTTCGTACCCCCCTTCTTCCTGGCGGAGGTTGTCTTCGATTTATTTCTGAAGTGGGTTGCCGCAGTGCTCATAAAGCAGCCTTGGCTTTCACCGAGCTCATTCGTTGCCACGAGGCCCGTTTAGCTAATTCCTCCTCTGCTAATGCTCGACCGTTCACGCCCCTGAAAACAGCTGAATTAACCGCTCTTGTTCGCATGGCCCTTCATCTGACCGCATTTAATACGGCTGGACCAGATGGTCAACAAACTGTCGCTCAACGAGAGGCTAACGAGAGAGCTCTGAACTGTGCCAGTGACTTGCTGCTGCTAAATAAGGATTCAATGACCGGGGAGAGATCAAGAACTTCAGACGTCGCTGCAATGGAGATGTTGAGGTCCTGCTGGTTCATCGGTGCTCAATCTGTGTCGTATGTTTTCAAAATTATATTTACTTACATCAAATGACAGCCGTTATGATAGTTATCATTAGCCCTTTAGCTGACTTCGGGCTTCACAAAGGGGAAGTAACATCAAGGTGAAAAAAGTCGAGCCGGGGGGGGGGAACAGAAGAGTGTTCCAAGGATGTAAAATAGACAGACACAAAGGTAGGTAGAAAAGATAAGGTGAGTACTGTGAAAGTGGTCGAATGTGACATATGGTAGGGTGTTGGTAGTTAGAAGTGAGAAGTCAACTGCCGGTTTATAGACTTTTTAGCCGTATGGTTATATGCTGCCCAAAGAGCGCCACATGGAGGTACGCCTATCGCACACCTCTTATATCTTATATAGAGGTCCTGCATAAATTGGCATCCATAGCACTATTTTATGGACTTTTGAGAGTACTCCTACTTAAAAGATTTCAGTAAATGCACCTTTTTCCCATATAGTGAACAGGTATGGAGTTTACTGGAATACCTCGCTGGCTTGAAAGACATAAGCGGACGCTGTGCTCAGCACATCTTTGTGGAAGACGGTTCTCTTTGGAGGGTTCTTGATGCAGCGGAAGCAAGTTTGGTCCCGGAAGGAAAAAATCAGGCTGAGGTTGGAATTTCGGCAAACTCACCACGGGTTCAGATTATCAGCGCTGTTCGCAGGAAATTTAAAGAGCATGTTGCATCAAATGCCCCCGAACACTGAGTGCCTTTGTAAATTACAATTTGATATCCTTTTTGTAGATGAATTTGTAGTTAATTAACTCATGCAAATATACTTCAAATGACCTTATTTTTTGGTTTTGCTTCGTTATTTTAATGTAAAGAATTTATAAATAATCTAATTGGTCGTCAGGGTGAACACATTTTACTTTGCTAAAAATTCTTATCATATGTACTCATGTGCAGATCACACGCTTCAGTGATTTTTTCTCCCACGCTTCTGTCTGGAACTGAAATCTCGTCGCTACTGATGCATTGGCTAATTAACCCCCCCCCCTATCATTTCCCAATCATCTCAAGCTCATTAATTTTCTAGAAAAAGCCGTAGACTTTCAAGACAAGTTCGTGGAAATTCTAATCGATGTTGGTTTTCAATGGTACAGCATTTTGGCTCAGGAAAAGAATTTGCCTGATTGCTGAAGGAAGCATGCACCTATAATTGATCAGTTTTAAGATAACTAACACGAATCAATTTTATCTTTAGTGTAACGGGGCCTATGGTTGGTTCAAATCGGCTGTATTTTCTTTTCACCTATTTTGATCATTTGCAGTGCTAATTCTTTGTCTCGGTCTGCCTAAAGTACACTGAAGATTGTATTCCTCATACAGTTCACTGATTAATCCCCTTATCAATAAGGTTCTTGGGGGGGGGGGGTCTTACAGTCCAAAGGCATCTTTGTTTAGCAACATTTTTGATAAGGGCTTGAAATCTGATGGGTGATTGGCTGACGGATTAACCAATAACTGCAGCGACAGCTTTTCCACAGGTGGTGATGCCTATTGAAGTGTGAGGGGGGGGGGTGGTCCAATAATCGATAATCCAGTGCAGAAGTGGCGCAATTTGTGAAATTGTTTTGAGTGAAACCGAAAATATTCAATTTGAAAGTTGGAAAGTGGATGTTGCCAATAAAGCTTGCCTTCATTTTCCTAGATTTAAAAGAAATAAATAGACATTCACTTTTAGAAGCTAGTTGTGTTGAGTGCCCTCTATTGATTTGCAAACGATAAAAACAAATCTAGAATTCAGGATAATGTTGCCTTGTTTTTGTTAACATCAAATGGTAATCATGCGAACCAACAATAAAACTATGACAGCCATATGTGTAACTCTAGCACACCTCGCATAAGCATGTTTGCCTTTAGGCATTCGATTCTGAAACGAATCACTTTATCTTCCCTTAACCGGGGTGTGCAATAGACTTACCTCCACGTGGTGCACCCTGGGCAACGTATACTCACACGGCAAAAAAAGTCTATTAACCGGCAGTTGACTTCTGACTTCAAACTACCATAACCCCACTGGATGCCATATTCTACCACTTCCACAGTAATCATCCTACCTTTTCTCTGCCTTTGTGTCTGTCTCTTTTACAACTGTAAACCACTCTTCTATTCCCCTCCCTCGACTTTCTGTTACTTTGATGTTCCTTCCTCTCTCTGTGAAGCCTGAAGCCAGCTATATGGCTAATGATAACCATCAAAACGCCTGCCATTTGAAATAAATAAAATCTTCCCTTAACCAGTGATGAGTCACTTAGTTAGCCCCAATTCTGTACATTTTTTGTGAACGGGAGAGAGAGAGAGAGTAATGAAAGAAACGGGGGGTGGGGGTGGGGGAGGGGTTTATGTGAATGTTGTACAATTTACAGAAATCTTCAGTTTATTCAGACTTTTCGTTTGAAGGCCAAATAGGTGACCAGCAAATAAGTGCGTATGCACTTTTTTGGTGTACAGTCCATCCCTTCATTTTTGCACGTTTCGACTGCTCTTCGACTTCGTTTTTTGAGCCTACTATAAGTGGCCTCATGGGGACTGCTATTTGGCAAAGAAGAGAGTGCTATCTAAATCATTTCTGAACTCTTTAAACCGATTCAAGAAATCTGGCCCACGCATGGCGATGCGCATGGCCAACTGCGCTAATTAATCCTGGTTCCTTTGAGACTTGGCAGAATTGCTGGCCACACAAGTTGGAGGGATCCTAATAGCTGTCTCCAATTATTGGAGGCTAGTAGACGTCCAGTTCAATGAGATGAGTGCCTCTGAGAGATGTCTACCGAAACAGTGAACTTGGAAAGATTAATTGCTCTAAGTTGCACTTTGGGATGAGTTTTCTCCTAAAATATACTTGTGGCGATTTGGCGGGTATGACATTTTATACCGTTAAACCTCGTAGCAGTGAATAATCTCAAGAATATAGTGCATAAGAAATAAAGATGAATACTTGGGTCTGTCCGAATTGAAGTATAATGGGTTAACACTGAGTAGGTTCACAAATAATGTCGAAAGAAGGGAAGAACATTGGTTCAAAGAGGGGGTGTCTAGCCAGGTTTAACCTTACCATCAAATTAGAGCTAAGGTTAAAGTGTCTTTGCTAAAGATAAGAGACTGATCTTTCAAATATACATGATACGACATCTATCAAAGTGTCGTTCTAAACTCGTTGATTGAGTAAGATCAAGCGAAATCTATTACCGAAGAGTTGGTTCCAGAACACGTGCATTGAGTTTTGAAGGTTGAACGTGACAAACACTCGCATTATCCTTGATCCCAATCTTCACCAATCATTCCCAAGAATTATACAATATCGGTGCTATACAAACATCTATCTAAAGTATGCAAATAATTATAGCTATTTAGGCACAAAGAATCTAAGAAGTAAGCAGGTATGCTTCAATGGAGTCATATTGAACTATAAGGGGTGTGCGATAGACTTACCTCACGTGGTGCAACCTGGGCAACTAATACTCATACGTCAAAAGCCGATTAACCGGCAGTTGATTTCCCACTTCAAGCTACCATCACCCCACTGTATGTCATATTCCATCACTTTCACAGTACTCGCCTTACCCTATTCTCGACCTTTGTGTCTGCCTCTTTTACATCTTTGAAACACCCTTCTGTTCTCCTCCCCCTCTCGAGTTTTCTCACTTTGATGTTCCGTCCCCTTTGTGAAACCTGAAGTCAACTAAAAGGCTAATGATAGCTATCAAAACGCCTGCCATTTGATATAAGCATTAAACTATAAGAAGGCAATGAAGTTGTTGAAGAGGGTTATCGATTTGGTCATGCCAGCGTGAACCCGAGTTCAAAATTACATGGGCTGCTTTACACCTTGTTGAATTTTGGTAAGTGTTCTGAACAAAATCAAATATTTTCGGTGATCTCGAAGGAAGCAGTGCATTTTAGGATTTCTACGCTCACGCGGGGATATTAAAGAGCACCATTGAAAGCCTCAACGAGGCGATTATTGGCTAGCCGAAAGGAGAACCACTTAATGAATATCCACCTCTACGTAAATTGAAAACATTTCTAAATAAAAAGGCGTCTTTTAATCTGCAGTTTATTCAACTTTCCTCTTTCCGGCGTTTGACTAATTGGACCTTTTAAAAAGTAATAAGGGCGTTGTTAGATCAGGCTCCACTCTACGAAGCAACTGTACTTAATTATAATCGAGAATCTGACAGATTTTGAATAAATCACTTCTTCAAGGTGATGACAGTGACCGTGCGAGTCAGCGACTATTGATTATTGGCTAACTGGGAGGTCTCTCCTCCCACGACGCACTTACTCACTACGCACCAAGTGGCGCGGGCCCACCTTCAAGTCTGTCTGAGCGCGCATGAGATTTCTTTGTTCAGCCATGACAGCGTTGTACACTCAACAAGCCGGCTGTCATAAGGACCAAAATGGACTCTTAGATTAAATTAAATTTCAATTTAGTTTTGAGCGCAGCTATTGAAACAGTTTCCATACGTGGCCTTCCGTACAGTTTTAAATGCTAAGATAGACAGTAATATGGTGAGGGCTGTTCGTAGAATTTCGTAGAGGATGTTATTAAGGCAGCTTTACAGAAGGCTTGATTGAAGTGATTGATGTAAGTTATTCCCCAGAAATCTGTGTGAACAATTTCAACAGCGAAGATTGATTCCATAGACACTGGGGGATCGATTATCACAATCTCCAATGAGCTCCCAGCTCCGGTGTCCAGAAGAAGTGTCACAAAAAAACTATACTAAAAGTTTTGGGCGCGAAATCTCACAAAATCACGTCATACGGATTTCCAATTTAAACGTCTAGATTCCAAAAGGACTTGACTTATTAATCCTTCCAAAATGTCTGGATGTTTCCCGTGATAGCCTTATTGTTTTCTCTCAAATTAGCGAATGACTATAGACTTTCTTTTTTAGGAGAATCACGCAAAAAAACTCCTAACTACCTCACACCAAATGAAGTTGCCAAAGTGAAATTCTCCTGAGTTATGTGCTTTTAGAAATTCTGGGTGAATTCAAGACATTCCAACAACATTCGCTATTGTTTAGTGATTTGTTCCGAGGTGTCTTCCTCAAGCGACTCGGAGTTTAACGAGAAATTTGTTCTCTCTGTGTACGCAAGCTATCTTTAACCAATGTTAAGGCCCAATACTGAACTACGAAAATCACTCCACTTAGGGAACATTTTTTTGAATATATTAATAAAAACTTGTGACTGTTCAATTGCAATTTAAGTACGAATTATTTTTTCGTGTGACAGGTTTGATTAACTGCAGTTATATTAAACTTAAAGAAGGCGATGAAGTTGTTAAAGAGGGCCATTGATTTGGTCATTCTAACACTAGCCTCTAGGGGTTTTTTCAAAAGTCAATAACAGTAGACTGATAAGTGTGTATGCATACGCATGTAGGTCACATTGCTAACAGTCCTTAATTCAATCAAACCATCTGCAATAAAAATTAAACATTCTGTCTATTTAATCAATTAGCCGACTTACCATACCACTCAATTAGTTCGGTCTCTAATGCACGCAAATTTAATTTTACTGCACTAATTTGAGGCCAATTTGGGCCAAATAAAGTCTAAAAAATTAACCCATTATGATGCCAGTTGTATTAAACAGATTAACTGGACGGAGCCAAACAACCCCAGGTACTTGTAAATAAAGAAAGAATTGTTAAACACATATAAGTGGATTTATTGTATTAGTACAAAATATATTACTTAACAATATGTTGATTTAACAGCTTTGAAATACCGAACATCTTGAACCGGCTTTTGCCAAACAGCTTTTTCCAACTCTCGTCACAAATGACAAATTGTCGATTCTCAGGATCCTTGAAATAATTTAGAAATTAGGTGAAAATTGAATGCAGACTTACAAATAGATTCTTCTCTTTAGCCTCAGCCCAAAAGTGCTTTACAAGTTGGGCCCTAGTTAATGCTGGCTCTCCTACATGTTCGGCCATTTCAGGAGATAAAGTGACAGGGACAGTGAAACCACCGCCACCACCACTCTTGGACTTTTTAGCTTCCTTTGGCTTTGCTAAACAGGACAGTTTACTTCCACTATTATGCACATACGAGCTGATTTACGACGTCGCATTCCATTTTCTTCCGCATGAACAGCACGAGCATACTTATCATCCGACGCCCTCCGACGCTTAGGAGAGGTTTCCTCAAGAGAGCTAACGCTATCGCCAGAATCAGACTCATCTAAACATAACAGCAAAAGATGTAATTACCCCCAGCCGCTTTGGAATTTTTCGCACGCGACTGCAAATATTTCATGATCATTTCATCGATTCGATCTTTTCTATCATCCAGATCAATATTGAAACGATCTTCTAAAGTTCTGCGAACCTTTTTACCGGTAACGACATTTAGGTCAGCATTTTTAAGGATTTCTAACAGAAAAATTTATTATAGATCCTATCACAACACACCCTCAATCGCCTCCTCTAACTGAGTATCGGTAGGTTCTGCCATTTTCAAAAGTGCACCAGTGCTGCTAAGCTATTGAACACACTTTGAATTTTTTAATAATTTATGAATACAAATTTAATTTATGTTAGTTTGTCTTACTAATTTGTTATTTTTTATTTGTGACGCAGCTAATTTTATAATTAAATATTGTGACTGTTTATTCAATCGGATAATTTACTAATTACCTCAATATAATGTTTGTGCTATCTAATATATTCTTATTTCTGTTTTCTATATTAAATTTACTTTATTATTAAATTTTGATCACACTCATTTATTTTGTATTACTTTATTGCATTTCAGTCAATGATTTCATTTGTTCCCTATATTTTCGAACTCTTGTTTCTCCTTGATTGTGCGATCACCTTGGTTTTTAACTCTTAGCAACTATATTTTCTCCTAAGTATGATTAAGTTGAAGCAAATCTTTTAAAATTATTATAGTAAAAACTCGAAATTCTGATTTTATTGTAACTTGGTCGTTGAGTTGCCTGCATATTGAATTTGAATGCTAATTAAGATAGTTGTTAAGTCTCTGGCAAGAACGTATTGTACCATCGACTCTTGGTAGTCGCATTATTGATGCTTAATATTTTTGAAATACCGCTTTGTGATATATTGAAGCAAATTTCATGCAACACTTAGGACTTATGCTTTTCACTTTTCCTATTGTGTATATAATGATTGATCACAAATTGAATTTTTATTTTTAATTACAATTAATTACAATTCTTTTGTAATGCCATACTTCAATGTAAACACTACAAAATAGCTGGTTTAAAAGTCAATTATTGAATTCCAGTTCGCCTAAAATAAACAATGTAGGAATTTATTTTAAATTGATAAACGAGTTTTTTTAACTTGACTGCGAAAGAATTATTCAGAGGAAGCCTTCAAACAATGATCTAAAATCCATCTTTATTTTTTAAAATTTCACTTTGACCCATGCAGAGGCTATTTATTCTGTATTTCAGTTTTGGCTAGCATAGCGAGCTTGGTTTGAATCAACTTTATTTTGGATGAATTCCATAATAGTACCGAAGAAAATCTATTTTTGGAGCAGTGGACCATAAATTAGATTTTATGCCGTATGCCGACCCATGCATGAAGTTGGATTGATGTGGCGGATAATGAGCGTGGCATCAAATTGAGCGGTGGATAGTTTATCCAAACTGTTGAGAAGAAAGTTAAACTAAAAAATGTCATTGGCCAAAAAAGTTACCAGTGCATTTCTAGTGATTGAATAGGCTACAGTATCATGACTCATGGACTAACTACAATTATTCACCGATATTAGAATGGATGATAAGTTCAATATGCAGGATAGCGAAGCTGTACAATAGTGTAGAAATGTTGGCCATATTGGTCAGAATTTTGTACTGTAACCTTGATGAAATCTGTGAGCCTACTAAGCTCCCAAAAAGGGCTTAATTCACGCCTCAATACCCGAACAGTTCAAAGCTTAATTTTCCTCTATTTATATCACGTATTCCGGGATGTGCGATTGACTTACCTTCACGGGGTGCACCCTGGGCAATGTATACTCATGCTACAAAAAAGTCTATAAACCGGCAGTTGACTTCTGAGCTAAACCTATCATGACCCCACTGTATGTCATATTCGACTACTTCCACAGTACTCACCTCAATTTTCATCTACCTTTGTGTCTGTTTCTTTTCCATCTTTAAAACACTCTTCTGTTCCCCCCCCCCACTCTCGACTTTTTTCGATTTGATGTTCCTCTCCCTCTGTGAAGCCTGAAGTCAACTAAAGTGCTAATGATAACTATCATAAAGCCTACCATTTGATATAAATAAATAAATATCTCGTATTCTTCGTGGGGCGGGCGATAGACTTACCTCCATGTGGTGTATCCTGAGCAACGTATACTCATACTGCAAAAAAGTCCATTAACCGGCAGTTGACTTTTGACATCAAACTACCATGTCCCAACTGTAGATCATTTCGACCACTTCCACAGTACTCACCTTACCTTACCTTTTTTCTCCTCTTTTGTGTCTATTTCTTTTTAAGTCTGTGATTCACTCTTCTCTCCCCCTCTCCCTCGACTTTCTGTGAATTTGATGTTTCTCCAATCTGAGAAGCCCGTTGTCCCCTAAAGGGATATTGATGACTATCATAAAGCCTGTCATTTGATATAAATAAATAAGATCTCATACTTTTGATAATTTCCTTTCCACCATGTTTATTGTTAGTTGACGCTTTAAGTTATTCCCTATGAGCAGACCCGTTATGTCAGAGATCGCCAATTTCGACTTCTAGAAAGTTAGAATTATGTCTTCCCTTCTCGAAAAAAACAGTTGATCGTGACAAGGGGTAGGGGTTGGTTAGGACAAGATAATTTTGCCATTTAATTTTAATTATTTCGAACATTGCTAATGATTAATTGCACGCAAATTTGTTGCAGATAAAGCCAATTGCATAACTATTCAATTTAAGGGAGAATTTAACGGGCAAATCGAATGGTAAATGTGTTAAAGGCAAATTGAAAGCCTACCGTCAAAACGAACAGGGCATTAATTTAGTATGCTTAAACATTCAAATTAAAAAAAATTCGCCAACAGTGCTTTAAACTAATAGTCTTGACAACAATTCTAAGGGCTACATAACGCAGTAGCTCTCACCATAACAGCTCTATTAAATTGATTAAAATGAATTCCACCATAAAAAATTATTAGCTTTTTGTAGAGAGCGAAAGTGCTGTTTCCTGTATTTTTTTAACCGTGACCAAATATTGTAGCGGGTGCAAACTCTGCCCTTCGTAACATAATGCATAGTTCGACGATGGGTGGAGAGAGGGTGGGTAATTTAACTTGAAAGGAAATTCGCACCTTTTGCTGAAAGGTGATATAATATCCAAAAATTATTTTATTTACTAATGCTAAGTCTGTTGGTTATCTCCGACTACCTGAATCTATATTTCTTAGTAAACTCTTTATTCCGTTATATATATATATATATATATATATATATATATATATATAACGGAATTATATATATATATATATATATATATATATATATATATATATTGATTTTTTTGTATATTGCTACACTAATAATAGTGTAACAGACAGACGTACAGATAGAAAGCGTTTATTTGGGCTGTGTCTATCATTAAAATACAATGAAGGGACTATTGCTTAGTAGCCGTACTTGATCCCTACTCAATAAGAAGTACGGCAGCACCTTCGAGTCGGTATGGGTGAGTATGAGATTTCTTCGTTCAGTCGTAGTGGCGTTGCGAACCCTTCAGATTGGAGTAGACTACAATATATGCTAATTAGACTTTGTACCTTGAAATATTCTCATTCTGGGGTGTGTAATAGATATTCCTCCACGTGGTGCACTCTGGCAACGTATACTCATACGCAATATTCGTTACTTCAACAGTACTCACCTTACCTTTTTCTCTACCCTTGTGCCTGTCTGTCCTCTTTTCCAACTGTGGTTTACTCTTCCATTCCCCAACCTCCTCCCCTCTCTGACACCCGAAGCCAACTAAAGGGCAAATAATTACTATCATTTATTTATTTATATCAAATGGCAGGCGAGAGGGCGAACAGAAGAGTGATTCACAGATGTGAAAGAGACACAAAGGTAGAGAAAAAGGTGAGGTGAGTACTGTGGAAATGGGAAAAGAAGAGCGATTCACAGATGTAAAAGAGACAGATGACACAAAGGTAGAGAAAAAGGTGAGGTGAGTACTGTGGAAATGGGTGAATATGACATACAATGGGGTGATGGTAGTTTAAAGTGAGAAGTCAACTGCCTGTTTATTGACGTTCTTGGCGTGGGAGTATACGTTGCCCAGGATGCACCTCGTGGAAGTAAGTCTATCGCACACCCCATGATATCTATCTCATTCTGTGTATTGATGCATTTCCAAGGTATTATTTGCATTGTACCCCTCCGAAATGCATATTCAGAGCAGATTCTTTTGTTACGACCATTTCATATTTCAGAGTACAGCCATAGAATTAAAAGGATCTTAATGATGCTTACAACTAAATGAATTCAAGTATTCCTACCAGAAGCACACTGGAAATTATCGTAATTCTACTACCTCTGAATAGTTTGTTTCCGTAGTTAATAGGGAGAAGTTTGGCCACTTTAAAGCACGTGGAGACACAGCGAAAATTAAAAAGAGCAATATCATTAATTACTTTCCCTAAATGGAAGCCGGATGTTGGAAAGTGTTGTTGTTGGACAATGTTCAGGGGACACACGTCGCTTTTCTCTTGTTCTGAGAGTGGTAAGATCAACCTCGTCTCCGATTTCCCCTTTCGGCAGATCAACTCTGAGCTCTAAGATAAGCCAAGCCACAGTAATACTTTCCGGTTTCTTTGTCTCGATACAAATTCTTACTCCTAATTAAATAATAATTGCCTTGTTATTGGTTGTCAACAGGGGTAATAGTTCGGAGAATAATTTAAGCACAAACGTCTTGGCGTAAGACAAGTGACACATAGAAGTTCACAATTACCCCTATTTATTTTCCCTTGTAGCATAATAATTTGTAAAATAAATGACACTTATTGGAAGTAAGATAAAGTCCTTTTCAAGTTTGAGGGGGGGGGGGGGGGGGAGGGGATATCTGCAAGGCCAGATCGCAAGCGAGATTAGAGAAGATGGGCACTGAAAAGTAGTCATCATACCGGTTTGCACTTTCTCGTCCTCAATTTGGCCGGAAAATTCGGACACGGGAGTGTGAGGGGGGGGGAGTGGGATGGGAGGGGTTAGCGGGTGGATTAGGTATTAGTGAAGGAGGAGCTACCGTATGTTGGGTCATAAAGTTTCTTGTAATCGTCAGGTCATACTTAAATCACCACATGTGTCCATTCCTCCTTCACATACACGTCCAGTTAATTAATCAGCTTCCTGATTTTATCTTAATTACGAGTGATTTAATTAATGAAAATGTCAGGAAAGTTTAGGGAATGTAGAGAATGCAAAATATAAATGCCCACCAATTTAATATAA